CAAGGTTTCGGTACTGTTCATCGGGCTCCCACAACCGAACGATCACCTCACTATCACGATATGATAAAAGCAGAAGAAGATGCAAAAACTAATCGGTGTGGTCTGTGGTCGTCCGATCAGTTCGTAAAGGAATGGGAAGCCGAAGTCCAAAATAATTCAGATCCCTCTGCTTTGAGCGGTGCAGAGGACGGTAGTCTTATTCCACTGACTGGCGTCTCAGAATATTTGGACGACTTATCAGATTTACAAATTAATGAAGATGGTGATTCGACAACTGTGATCAATAATGACAATATTAAGGTATGAAGCATATTTTTTGAAATTTTTTGGGATACAATATTTTTTCCCTGCATATATTTAAATTTTCTAAACCAAGAACATAACTGCGCAAATTATACATGTACAAATAGGAATTGAAGAGGGAGGTTGATTATGAATGCAGTGGTCTTGAGTGCTGTTAGAGGTATGAGGGTGATTATCACTTCCTGGTTACACACATCATAGACGAATTCTTCTGGAGGTACCTGAAAAGGAAATTGGATTAGAGGTGGTCACAGTGACCTGAGAGCGTGACTCAAGGGGCAACTGCCTGAGGTCGGTCACACACGACCTTTCTATGAGTAGTTTTCGTGTTAGCTCCGTACTTGTTGAGACCTTACCGCCGGAGACGGATATCCATGGGATAAGACGAGGTGTGTATTTTTAGGCTCGACCTTTTCTAACCCAATCCCTCCCTGTAAGAAGTTAGCATCGCTTTTATGCTGGTTGTCTGAAGGAAACACCTTACTGCCGTCATACCTTTGTACAGTCAGCAGTACGACTTCGTTTTCGGACCTTGAGTTTGCTGCTTTTAGTCTTACCGTTCTTCAACCGACCTGTCTGGCATGGTAGGACCTTAAGGAACGACTGTTCCAGCCAGTATAGCTCGATTGGTTAGTCACGATAGGCAAGGCCGACCACCACGTCAACGTAGCAACAGCGGTATTATGTTCTTATATGCGATTTTTCTATGATATATTACCACCATTTAATTGACTACTTCTATGAACCCGGTGTTCATCTTGCTGTGCTAATGAGGTATGGCAACTTGGACCGATGTGCTTAGTCCTACGTTGTAGCTGACCTGATATATATATATATATATATATATATATATATATATATACATCAGTGCCTAAGTATTAAGGATTCGTTTGTCTCAAAATAAGATCCTTTAACAAATGTTAAACAATTGTATCGTGCATGATATTACATATATCTAAAGTGTGAAACACCATTTTTAACCGTTTTCTATAGCCGTTGTCATGGAAACCTATTCAAATAACCGGGATCTCCAGACCTGCTTCTGGTAGTCAGGGTCTTCGATTCTTCGCTCAACACTTATCAGATGCGTGCACTCTGGTCAAGATTAGTCAAATGCTGAATAGCCAATCATTTCCTTCATTCCCTTCCGAATACTACCCTAAAAAAGGTAGTCTGTGTATTGCTTGTTTCAGTTTAGATAATTGCTGGTACCGAGCACGTGTCATTCGTAGTTCACCCAAATCTGTTACAGTTCAGTTTATTGACTTTGGTAATGAAGAAGTAATCGACGCAGCTGAGTATTCATCACGTCTTTCTCCTCTTCCATCTGGTCCACTAATGCAACTTCCACCACAAATGAAAGAGTATCGTTTGGCATTTGTTCAACTTCCTCCCGATGCTTCCGATCGCGTGTTTGCGGAGCGTGCTTTCTGCGACCTCGTTGAAAACAAAGAGGTAGGTGAAATTTTTGCTACTGGTTTTATCTTTTGTTTTTCGTTTTAGATAAGACTCTCATTTGGGGTACAGTACGTATTAATAACGTTTGTATACTGTTGGATAAAATCAAAGTCTCTAAATTATGACCAAATTTCAGATATATGCTTAGGTTGTTTACTAATATGTCTGTGTTATTAATTTTGATTCGTTCGGGTGTTTAATCCCGTACACTTCTGCACGCAGTACATATAGATCGAAGTGTTATGTAAACATATTTATTTTGCTTGGTTATAAGCCACTCAGATACATTCCTTATTAGCATCACCCTCTAAAGCTCAGAAGAGTTATCAAATTATTAAAATCAAGGCTTATTAGTTAGGACTTGGTTTTCAACTCAGTTTCTAGCACCACCCCACCTACTGAGCAGTTGGTTAATATCCCTTGCACACAGAGATCTAATCCCTAACAAATCGTACCAACCTGTGGTTGGTCATTGCGTTTGTCTGTGGGATACAGATTCGATCAATACATGTTCCGTGCAGGATCGTGTTGGGTTACGCTGGTTGACTATTTTTATCCAACAAGCGCTAGTGGATACCTGGAGAATACTCTAGAATCTCCTTACGTAAAAATTATGAATATACTACCGTTTTTCTTATTGTGATTCCTACTTCCATGCAACCTTTTTTGGGGTACTTATCGAGTGAAGTAGCTTTCAAGAATACTAAGCAATAAGAGTAGCTGGGTCGTTATAAGAGAAATTATAACAGCGTTTTAGTAATTTGAATTTATTGACTCATGAAAATTATCGTTTTTGAAAGATCCTCCCTTCTTGATGCTGTATCTGCATATCAAGATATATGTTTCTGAAAAAGTGGTCTACTCCGTCTTCAGGTGTAATATTTCCTTATTTTGCAAAACATATAAACCAGTAGCTTTTAAGTAAACTGTAATGCACCCAAGTCTGTTTACTCCTTTAATTTGGTTTTCTCTTTTTCCAACAGTTGCGACTTGCTGTTCAGTACGAATCAGTGCCGTGTGGAAACGAATCAGTGAAACCTGTCCCAGCAGTGACATTAATGCTTCCAGTTGCAGAGCTTAAAACATCTGGGTCATCTGTCTGTCCAAACGATATAGATATCAGTGAGTCGCTGTTGTCTAATGGTTTGGTCTGTGTTGAACCTGTCCAGCCTCAGCTTCTTAAACGACTACCACGCAATCTTCTCCACAAGTATCTAGATGCGCAAGCGCTAGCAAAGAAAGAACGTAAAAACATTTGGCGATATGGTGACTTCCGTGCAGATATGGAATAGCTGTGATATACATTGCACAACAATTAAAACTAAATATGTGCCTTTAAAAGACCAGGTGAATATAAACGACTACCACACAACAATAGCATCAACTTTATGCTCTGATTTATTTTGTCTGTTTCTTACTATATGTTTTAAGAATATACTTGATTGTTGTTTGTCTTGGAATGATCGTAAGAATTTCAGGTAACTATTCTTTCTCTTAAAAATGTAAAAAGCGGATCTACTTAAGTCTATCAATATCTATGATATTCTTGTTGTTCATTCGTCTCCCTACTTATAATGTAAAACCAATGTTATGAAAACCAGTGTTTTTGTCAGTAAACTACTTTAATTTCTAACTTTAGTCACTTGTATTTTCGTTTTTCTTGTCAAATGTTTGAATCTATTATATCTGTGGCAATTATATTAATTATACCAAATTATGTTCCTAAACATTTCTGTACTCAGTAATGTATGTTTACGGTAATAAACTGTGATTTTGTTTTGTATGGCTGCATTTACATAATCATAATACGCTACATGCATCTTCATGAAACTTGACAGCTTATTTCCTGACTTTGTGTGGCACCCTTTCTAGTGAAATACACATTTTTAATGAGTTTTTCAATTGTAATGTTGGCAGTCAGTCGTAAACAGCCTAGAACCTTGTTCATAAGTTACTGTTACACTACATCGTATCAAGATTAAAATGCTAGCATAAGTGCCAGTGTAGTAAGAATTAGTAACAGTATCTGTGGTAGTAAAAAATGCACTAAGCGCAGACAGTATGATTGGAAGAAAAACGAACTGGCGAAAGTAAAAACGACAATTTTAAAGCAGGGAACAAGGAATATATGTGGTACTGATTCTGACCCATGTCACTCAACTCTCCAATGATTGATCACGGTAATCGATTGGATCCAAATTAGGCAGTATGTATCCACTAATATGGCCTACCTTAACAGTCATGACTAGAGGAGAACTGCGAGTGCACTCTCCATCGGGGCTCCCTAAGTTTATTATATATTGCGCCTATGCGTAGAGGACGTGACCTGGGTATCATAACTAATTTGCGAATTGATAACCAATAATCCAGATTTTCATCTAGACCCAAAGGCACCTAATCATTTCCCAAGGCAACCAAGAGCTCGAACGTGGTAAATTTAGTTGCATTTATTCTCTGCCTTAATTTAAATTTAGAGTTAGGTGTCATTCCTTTGCATCGAATGTAGTCTTATTTTGTTAATTTCCTCTCTTTCTACACTTATATGACGTATCCTTACCTAGAATGATTCTCAACCACGCAGTCCCACTTTGACGCTTACTGGATCTTTCGTATCTCATTACCTCTATTGTGTCTCAAATCTAGTACTTACTTCCACAGACAATATTCGTTAGACTACAAGCATGTATTCAGTTAAATTTTTACCATTGTCATTTTCTCACAGCTGAAATGATCGTATACCATACATGTACATGTCTCAATATAACCCATGAAATTCCCATAATTATATTATTTTAATAAGAAAAGTTTAGAAGCAATAACCAGTCAACATAAGTCATCAAAAATCAAGTGATCATGCTTACAACCCTACTTCAATAACTTAAGTCTTAATTGCACAGATAAATAAATAATTAATGTGACTGAATTAAAGTTTGACAAATATTCTATTTTAAAGTCATCGAAATCATTGTTACGTGAGTAAGTATTTTGTCTATATGGCTACAGCATGATAAAACCAGATTATAATGAAGAATTGAAAATCAACAAAATAATCAAAAACTAATATAAACAACAAATTATGTACAGATCCTAATGAGAATGTAACGAGTTAGAATAGAAAGACAGTTGAAAAAACGAACTATTTGAACAAAGTTATTAAACAACTCGAGCTGCAGTGTTAGTCTAAATAATTTAGTGAATGACACAGCACAGCATTATGTATACACATCTCCAAATTCGTATTAACTAAGTTGCCGACGTCGAGCTTTTTGTTTGTCAAAACGTGCTTCCATCTCTTCAAGAATACGTGGCGTATATCTGACTACAAGTTTCACAGTACCTATAACAAAAAGATCATTACAATTTGTTTGATATGGTTTAAACTGGAAAAAACAATGTATAACAAGTGATTATGAATATACTAAAACTACGCATAATGTGAATTAGAACAAGCATATATAGACGTGATTACTAGATAATAAGGATATTGACATGAAACTCTGTAATAATGAAAAACCACATGTATTAACAGAGAAAAAACATCTTAAAATCTACGGTACATCACCTTGTGCTAATTTCAAGAGTTCAACAGCTCTTTCATGATGTTCACTCTCCACAGAAATCCCATTTACTGTTAGTAATTGATCACCACGTTTTAAACCACCATGACGATCGGCAACACCACCAGGAATAATTCGACTTATGTAAATAGGTGAATTTTGTTCTTTATCACCCATAACATTGAAACCTAGACCTTCATTAGTTTTTGGTAGTTCTATAACACGTGGATGAGCGTGTCCTTTACTTGCAGCAAAAGCTGCAACAGTAGCTTTAGCTGTTGCACTTGCTTTAACCTAATAACAGTTTAAATAAAACGAAGAATAAAAGTCGGTTAGTTACTACGTAGAACTTAGTATGTATGTACATCGGTTCCCATTGCCATATCCGATTAGCACACCAACATGAAGTTGTAAGGTAGTATCACAGAATCGTAGAGGTAGTAACAGTATCACCGATAATACGTAAGACTAGGCATAGAAGATATCATTTGAGAGAATACAAATTAATGAAACAATAAGACTATGAGGAATTCAGAAGATGAGAACCTGGAGAGATAAAAAAATGGATGCGCCTGTGCTACTGCAAACGATTTTAAATCATGTCATCCAAAGTCTCTAACCACTGATTACGATAATCATGCGGATATCAATCAGGTAGTTCACACCTACTAATACGGCTCAGTCCGGTTGTCAATGACTTCATGAAACGATACCACGTCTTTGTTTGGCCCCTTACATTTATCTATATAAGCACATACACGTTGGTACTAGAGGCCACATATATATGCGCCACATAAATTATTCGATGCCCCCAAATGCCCTGGTACGGCCGAGAGTGGGGAGAGTCCGCTCTCCCTCTCGAAATGCTCTCACATGGCCATGCGTATATAGCCTCTGCCAGGGAAGTCCTACTCACTGCCTTCACGTGGCGGGGGTGTTCTTTACAAAAATGAGAGGACGAAAAGCGAATGTCCGGCGTTATAACCGGACCCCAAACCAATGATGCACATGGGCTCCAGTATCCTGAAGGAACAAATGGCGTATGAACGAATCGTTGGTCACCGGCTACCATGGGACTGCATCTCCTCACGATGCTCCACTGCCTTGTGGGTCAGACGTTCAGGTCGAAGGCTAGGGGTGTGGCCCCCTAAGAAAACCACCTGCTTCGGTTTGGGCACCCGGGCAGTATCACAGCCCTCACACAAATAAGATGAGATTTGTGTGGCGCATATATATTTGGTGCCTCCCTGTACCTATACTTATGTGTTAAAATGAATGTAAATAAATTATTCGATTCGTGCGTGGGCTCGAATACTACCCGACAGCCCAAACAGAAGCAGGCGATCTTCTAAGAAGACCACCTTTGATCTAAAGGTCTAATCCATACAGCAGTGGAGCAACGTAGGAAGATTCAGCCTCACTGGTAGCCAGTGAGCAACAAGAGGTTCGTACGCCATTTGTTTCCTCAAGATTCTAGGATGTATATGGACCATTCTTTTGGAACCAGGGTCTTTCAACTCCCCCAAGTGGACCCTCCGTATCCAGCAACCCGGTTAAAGCGCCGGACGTTTGCTTTTATCCCTCTTAGTATGAGGCGGATATGCTGGAACGAATCCAACAACGAGGGACTAAAATGGTAAAATGTCTCTCTGGCCTATCTTATGAAGACAGACTAAGACATCTCAATTTATTTCCGTTATCTTGCCGAAGAATATGGGGTGACTCAATATTGGCTTATCCTATACCGAAAGATGACCTTGATATTCATGTCTAATCATTTCCTTCTCTCTAGGACTGATCATTTGAGAGGACATTCGAAATTTCAAAAACTGAGATTAAATCGTCTTACGTCTGGAGTTTCGTTTCTCGCACCGAGTAGTGAATTACTGGAATTCTCTACCGGAACACGTAGCATTAGCACCTCCTGTTGATATATTATGATCGAGATTGGTCCTCCACAGTGTTGAAAATTGCAAGGATTAATGTAGGTCGATATACCTCTTATTATTATTACTGAAGACTGAACAAATTTATAGAAGCATTTATTTCAATGGTAGTAATATGTGATAAAAGATTGCATATAATTATATTATACGGGGAGGAAGAACTAATCCGTAGAAAAGTATAAAGTAATTTTAAGGGAACAGTGAGTATACACCTAAGCCATTGTGGTCGGTCCTGAACTATTTCACCCTGATTTAAAATTCATTCCATAATCTCTGTGAACTTCAGACTTAGGCCTTGGGAACAGAAGGTCAGGGACATTTACTGGCACTTTCCTAGTAGACTTCTACAATCACATATCCTTTATTGAATGAATCAAACGGAGAGGTTGACAACAATTTCCGTCAGTAGATTACATGAACGGACTACTCAGTGGCATAAACGACAAAATCGAGCATTAATTGAGGCTTAGAACATTGTTTGTGCAAAACCCACAATATGAAAAAACATTACTAACTTATTCTGACCCATTAATATCAACAGTTATATATATATATATGCTCATAAACTTCACGAATCATGTCGCAAAAGTCTGACTGTTGTAAAGCTGCTAATTTTGATGGTTGTATCTCAGGGCACCTTTGAAGTCTTTTCAATAACTCTAACACTCTATTACTTTCTAAAATGTTAATACAAAGAATTTACAACATACTTCTCTGCAAACTCAATGACTCCGCCATTTGCTAGTGTCCAATATCTTCTTAATACCCAAGCAAAAAAACCCAATGATATTTTAGGCGCGCTTTATATGTTACATGTTTCCAGGTTTTTCAGATATTCTAAACATATAACTGCACTAGATATGCAATCAAATTGATATTCAATATCAAATGTTTCTCTGTATCAATTTAAAAAATATTTTTGATTGCAGTGACACACTATCACTGTTACTATAGAAAATAAACGCTATCTCTGTCGTCTGTTCTTCTACTTTACTGGCCCATAAAATGTGATCGAAGATTATAACAGTGTTAAACACCCAGTGTTAAAACACCCTTTTAGGCACTATAAACTACATTAGAGTTTTGGCCCGGGTTATTACTGAATAATACTATCGGATTTAATCATTTCCATCACACCATTGGTACCACCACGTGCAGAGGAACCTTCATTAATCAGGTGGACTTATTCGTGGTTGTTTTCTTAGAAGGAGCGTGCGAGTAACATTCATTTCATAACCATTTTGCTATTTAATATGCTATTTCGTTCTAAATGTCATTTGTTACAGTTTTACTTTACTCATAAAGAGATGCTTCGGTTTGTAGTATTGATCCTTTTTGGCATATCATTAGGAACTGTGTTTATTATTATTTCTTGAATAAGCTATGTAACTAGGATCCATCACTAATTTGATGAGCATTTGCATTTCTTTCGAAAGTGCAATTTTGAGTTCACTTACGAACATTTCGGCATTTCTTTTTCTCTTGGTAATGACTACCTTTTTGCATATTGACCATGTATTCGACGACACTACCAAGGCTTCGAAATATTCTTTCGTGCTTGGAATCTTGCCTACCGAAGTATCATATGAGGCGTCGAATTCGATAGATCCTGTGCTGAAAGCCTATGTTCAGTTGAATCAGGCCGTTATTAAATGTACCTCAGTATCGGATGAAAATAGATACAACGATTGTTGTATGAGTGAGAGTTAGATAACAAGTCACCGTCCGATTTGTTATGTCTGGTGAAGCAGTTGATTGAACTTTATATATGCTTCTGTAAAGGAAATTTGGCTACAACGCTTACCAACGGTAGTAAGGCAAATTCTTTGCACTTCCGGCCAACCTGTGAATATAGAGAACCTAGTCGGCGCAGCTGGTAGGATTTTAGAAGTAACACGCAGTAAGATACTTTACGTACAGATAATATCACATACTCCGAGTAGCATGCAAACCCTCACCACAGAGTCGTTAACAGCTTAATTAAGCTACCTACATACATATCATGCACACACAGTTGCTAGCCTTGTAGACACACTAGACGCATTACGATTATTAGTCTCCAATCTTGTATCTCAAGGGTCCCGATTTAATTCTCCCAGGATCAATAATCGACACACCATAAGAACGAGCAAACGTGTCGACCATATATGTTGGTACCACAGAAAAATGGCGTCAAAATGGGTGAGTGTGTTACGTACTACAAACTGTTTTCCGTCAGTTTCTTTGTCGGGAAATGCGTTGACCAGACAGTAGTGTTGCTATAGTACTGGTTGTACCCCTAAAAGACTGACAATATCCAAGTGAAAATTCAGCGTCGCTCCTGGTATATATAGGAGCGATGTTATTTTTCTCTCACATTAGGACGCATCTAAACCACCATAACTATCCAACTTCTATGTCGTAATTTATTGTATAAATCAATGTTACTTCGTGGCTGTCATGCAACAGAAGATTTCGGCACGTCAATCGGCTGTTAAATTAATCGACGATGTGAAACCTGTCCAGTTCAGCTGGTGGTCTGACAACATTATCATCCACGCGAATCATCAGTTTACTCAGTCGATCAAATAATAATAATAATAATTTATATTCTGAAAAAATGATAATTACAGAATTCACACCAGTTTACAGGCATGATCAATTTGATATAAATAATATCATTATATGTACAGAACAAACATGTGATATGAGTTTTAAGTTTACTAGTTCAGTAATTGTTTAGGTATCACAGCGATCCAATGTATCGGCCGGGAACATGTAATATTTCTTAACTGGACAGTCTGTTGATTTATGAACGGTGTAATTAAGGTCATTTCGTGTGCCAGATCGATTTAATGATAAATATCTACAACTAAAGAAATTAAAACGAAAACAGAGAGCACGGAACAACAAAGCAGTAATTACCGAAATATGTCAATCAGATCTATCAAAATGCGTATGTCATGTGACACAGTGATATACTGTTGATGATATTCAAATTAGTTAAACTAGCTGGGGACGGTATTAACATAAAGTGACAGAAAGTTGGTGGTTTTATCCAGAGAATGCACTAATAAAAATGCCTAAACATTTAAAGTTCCTATTATAACACTTGTGGAGTGAGATACACTTGCAGGTGCTAGAGCATTCAATGCATTTTCGGAGGAGCAGTATGCATCGATGCAACTTACAAATAATGGGAGTGATTTGATCGTACGGATATGTTGTGGTAGGTTATTCCAGAGTCTAGAA